TTATCACTGATATAATTCGAGACACAAGGAAAAAAATCCTGCATTTTCTTTTTATCGAATCTGTCATGCATTTTCGGATCGTAAAAGCTAAATCAAGTCCAGCTTGATTCTTTTGTGCAGCTTTTTTATTCCGCTGCGTAGGAAAGAGCGCGAGCATAAGCGGTAAACACATTACACGATATTGCATATACGATTTTCTATCAAATGTATCCATCTCGTCTTAGAAATCTCTCTTGCAATTACTTCTCGACACCTCCACGAAAGACGCACAATTGTTCAACAAGAGAGATTTGCTCATCCAGATTAGTACAGAGAATATATATGGATGCATTCGAGTCTACGAGCTTGCGAGCTTCTAAAACGGCGATCACTCGGACACGCGGTGACGAAAGGAGTAACAAAAAAGTGACGAAGGAAGAATCAAGCTGACACGGGGAAAACATAAAGAATTAAGGCAAAGGAGATAGAAAGATAGAGAAAGAGAGAGAGAGAGAGAGAGAGAGAGAGAGAGAGAGAGAGAGAAAGAGAGAGAGAGAGAGAGGATATGGACACTATCGGTTCCTTCGCCGTTTTGGCGAAAATCAGGAAATTTTGACAAGGCTCATGATGCCGCAAACAGTGCACATAACTCGACAGGAATCGATTCTGACCCACTAAAAATTGCAACGAGTTTTATTACGAGGAGTTTCAAAAAATTTTCAGATTTTAGAAAATAAATAACGCGCGAGTACACACAAAAAAATATCATTCTATTGTTAAGAAAAGTGAAAGATTAATCATATTTACTATCTTTTAAGTAATCTTTTAAGTAATCTTAAACAAAGAATATTTCCTTGATAATCTTAAAATGTATACTTATTACAAATTTAAAAAAAAACTTATTATATTAACTTAAAACAAGAATTTATTTTCTTTTGAAGAATAAAATATAAATTATAAAATTAATTGAAGAAGACTTTATGTAATAAGAAAATTAAATGTTTTAATAAATTAAAGTAATCTCGATTAAAACGTTAAATTTACTAAGAATATATTTTAAATGATGCTTGTGATGAACTTATGATAGAGTTGCGGATATATGAACTTTGAAATATTCAAAACAAATAATTATTACTTGCATACAGTATATATTTTTCTGTGCGTAAATATGTATATTGTGACATTTGAATTGTATATGAAAAAAAAAAACTGAAGTAAAATTGACATAAGCTTTAATAAAAATCTTTATGTTTTTAGGCTTATATGAGTCATCGAAATACATCAAAGTACATTTAATATATATATTTGAAAGCTCTTACGCCACCACGTATCTACTCTCTCGTTCGGCTCATAAAAAAAATCCACATTTTCATTTGAATAACTTTCACTCAAAAATAATAATTAACTTCATATAAAACAGCTCTGTACATTAACGAATGCACCGTTTCCAGCATCTCGGACGTCGCCTCTTTACTTTATGAAACGAGTGAATTGAAAGAACCTATTTCGTGAAATCTCAATCTCCCGATCTCTTAAAATCGGGAACTATTCCATAAAATTTTTTATTTCTCTTCTGGTTTTATCATCGCATTTCCCTTTGTTCATTTTAACAAAAAAATCGACTGTCCTAATTATATGATTTTTCCGCTTTGAAATTGCAATGAATAGACGGAAATACAAAGAAACGATAGGAAGAGAAATTGTTTAGCAATTTGAAGACTAATTTTGAATTACGAAGATTGGGAGACCGTAATCAATTCCGCAAAATCAATTCCAGACATTTCCTTCGAATTCACTCCTTTCTTCGTAGACTCTTTACTCTATAAAATATAGACGTAATAAATTGATCATCGATCCTCTCTCCCTTTACGCCTGCACTCGCGAGGTCACGCGTGTGCCACCAACGCGATCCTCTAGCGAGCGACTATTTTACATCTATTAGCGTCTTCTCCGGATTACTAGTTCTGTTGTTTGCCGGCCTCATGAGGCAACACGACGCGCTTGGTGAGATCCGGCGGCGCGTCGTAACTCTGAGAACCGCGATCGTCGCCGCGGTCCAAGGTTAGCAGGCTCCTTGATGGACTCGGCGAGATCAGGCATTCGTGAATGAAGCTGCACACCGTGTTCACGTAGACGTCGCGATAGGTCGTGTAGTGCTTGACATGCGGCGAATTGGTGAACAGGACGAGCTGCACCCTCACACCCCTCTCGGCCCTCCGACTGGCGAACTTCTCGACGTCCTGATGAAAGACAGAATCTCTCTTGTAACAAGATTCTTCTCATTACATCTAGGATTATAATAATGATAAGGTACATTCAATTATTAATTTTAAAGGATATTAAAACAACATTTTCAACATTTCACGTTCAACATTTTTTTAAAGCACATTACCTTTCTATTTCTATTTGTTTATTTATACAAATTATTTTGGCTCTAAAAAATGTTGAACTTCCAATTTAACAAAAATTAATTAAATAACGTAATCACATTACGTTAAATTATATCACTCAAATATGTTTAAAAATTTAACACAAATTTTAACAAATATGTTTTACTGTACAACAGTTACATTGTTGAGTGTAAACATTAATGTTATGTTACTGTTAGTATTTATTGCAGAATTAGCATAAAAAAAGTGGAAACTTACTGACGCTGGGATCAGAGTGTCGCTATTGGAGTAAAGGAACAGCTGAGGCCAAGAATAAGCTTCCTCCGCGAGAGCGATCGGGTTCGTCGGAATAGGCGTTCTGCTGAAAGCCTGCGCAATTACCTGACGATCATAAATCGACATATAAACTGTACAGCGTCGGTACAGCTCTGAAATGATCCGATCTATGGACATGATATGGTACGCCGCCCTGACAAACATACGTTTGCGATGAGATCGTGTCGGACGTATTCGGAAATTAATGAAGATTACGATCGTTTCATGCTGGCTTAATGTTCATTGAGACAATGAGAATCATGGAATGTCAACATGTTGTTCGTTTACCTCGAAGAACCAGAGTACGGAGAGGAAGAACGTGATGACGAATGACATCGGCAGGTTTGTAAGGGGGTTACCACCGATAATCGCGCTGATTGCCTTGAAAAGTGCTGTCAGTCTCCTCTCACCGGGTGCGCTGTCGAATATCACTCCCCTGACCTGAAATTCCAGTCAGAAATTCTTATATGTCGACAGCAAATAAAATAATTTTATAGGATGATTATTCTGTACACATTCTCTATCTTCTCCATTTTAAATGCTTTACAATTTGTGTCTGGAACAGAAAATGTATGAGAGAATTTTTTCTTAGAGTTTACTCTGAAAAATGGGACAACATTAGGGAGTTTTTGCAATAACGTGGATCCAAATATGGATGTGGTGAACGCTAAAGTCATGCTATCCTTTTTTTTAATTAGTTATTAAGAAGAAGATAACATGATCCGTATCTGGATAAACGACATTTCGAAGAATTTTATGTAAATTTTTCTCATTCATTAATAAAACTACAATAAAATAAATTTGATTAATTTTACTAAAGTAAAAGCAGTAAAAATCTTTAAAATATTGTTATTGTACCATAATTATCATATTTTCAAGGTGAATTTAAAACAATAATTCTCTCCGTGTAGAACACATAATTTTACACGATACATTTTTGTATGTATGACTGCATTTTAAAGTATGTTTTATGTTAATATTTTTAATTCTTTAATTTTTTTTTTTTTCGTATTACACAATCCAGCAAATTTCAATTAATAAAGTAACATAACTATTAATTATAAGTTTTCTACTCAACAATGTAACTGTTTATAAAATATAATTTATAATATAATATAACTTATAACAAGTGTTATATTACAATTTGTCGAGTGGGAAATTATAATTAACAGTTATGTTAGTTGTTAGGTACTTTCTGGGTTGTATAATGAGAGAAATAATATAGGAATCGGAATACAAATATGTGTAAAATATACATTAAAATACATCGTGAAATATATTAATACATACAGCGTACATGACATATAAAATTGTAAGTAGAAATGAATGTAAAATTTTTGGAAAAGAGATCTAACGCAAATGTATGACGATGTGATTTCAAATTTAGTTCAATTAAAATTCAAAATAGACTTCTACAATTTTATACATTTAAAACACGAAAAACATTTAAAAAACTAAAAACCCCCGTATATATAAAATATATTAAATATAATTCTACACAGTATAATTATAATACTTAATGTATAATACTTAATGTAGTAATTATGCCAAGTATAATTATGCACAGCATACTATTAGTTCTGATACGAATTGCAGATTGTCGGACTTGACGTAAAGAGATTTTCGTCGCAACGAGGCGTCTACCTTGAACGGAGTATTAGCCCTCTGCATCGCGAGGCTGATGTGCTGATACAGGAACGCGCCGCCGTTGCTGAAGACGTGAAAGAATATGGGATGCTCGTCCAGCCGCTCGTCGGTGATCACCTGCAGCAACCGCTTGCCGATGTAAGGCATCTTGTCCCGGCGCCAGAACAGGTATTCCACTGGCGCTGTATAACGCAGCGTGATGCAACTATATGATGAGAATGCAATGCGAAAATTAATTATTAATCAGGAGATTAATTGTATTTCGAGCGGCGTTGAACAATCGATCGCTCTTTGCAATCGAATTAATCGATAACATGAGCGTATCCGATGCGTCATATTGTACTCACAAAAATGGAGTATTTCCGGTTCTACATTATGATTGCATTTTCGATTTCAAGTATTAGAAATAAAATCCTGTTTCGAATTCTATCTATAAATTGTTCAAAGGAATTGCGTAAGAACTTTGTTGCGTTGTACGACAAATCGAGACGACTTCGTTCTTTCGCAAAATCATTCTCACGGATTCTACGCCATTTATGAAATGCGCACCCGGTACGCACGCGATTGTTTGGAGAACTACAGAATTAGATATATAGTTTTTTTCAATACAAAGATTTTCGATCTCCTAACTAAAATGCGTATCAGCTCGATCACATGCGGTATCAGCGTGTATTGAATTACGCGATATATTGGTAATCTAGAATACCTCTTATCTTCGTAGATCGAGCTGTATTTAGCTAAGTATCGGTCTTGACAGCCGGCCCATCCTAACAGGATCACAACCGGCCGCTTGTCCTCCTCGTACACGAACACGAACTCCTCCCGTTGATTCTGTCCACCTGTGGTCAACGTCTGATCCTTCGGGGACGGTGGAAACGACGGGAACATGATGTAATAATCCAGATCCTCCTGCTCGCTCATCTCGTCCGATCGCCGTGCCTCCTGTTCACGAGGACGAAAGGGGAGAGAGGACAGAGAACAAGAGAGAGAGAGAGAGAGAGAGAGAGAGAGAGAGAGAGAGAGAGAGAGAGAGAGAGAGAGTGAGAAAGAGAGAGAGGAAGAGAGGATGCAGTCGGGGGTGAAGTAATGCGCCGGGCATGAACTAGCTTCGCCGGGAGGGTGACTTCTACTCTGCTTGAACTCGAGTTTGCGTCGTTCGAAACGCGCGAACCCACTCGGGAATCGATATCCGAGGGAGTTACAGGAGCTAGGTCGAGGATAACGGCGCATGTGGACGTCCAGTCGCGCGTATGCACATGCAGAAGTGCATACGCAAGAGACAGAATTCGCGAGGGAAAAACGTTTATTACTTTTTAATACATTATTTGCATATCGAAAAATAAAAATAACGCAATTTATATATTTATTCGGAAAAATAATGCAAATAACGTAAATAACGTAAATAGAAGAAATTAATGAATTGGAAAATTCATAAAAGATGGATTTAATAAAGTCAAAATTTTGAGATTTTAAGAACTCAATCGAGCCTGTGATTTTCCACACGTATAATTATCCGATCATCTTTTTAAATTAATTAATAACTTATTAGTGAATGAAAATTACAAAAATAAGTGAATTTTTGAGAATATTTAAAATTTCATTAGTCTGTTAACCCTTAGGTCCAGTCCCACAATTTACAGTTAATTCTTAACCGAGGTTCAACTATTCCTTATTTTAGAATTGAAAAGAAATGAGAAATAAATTGAACTTCGATTAAGGATTACTGTGAGTTATAGAACTGGGCCTTGTGAATCTATTCATTTCTATAATTTTTATCAAGTTGTCTGATACACAATCGAACCTTGGAATAATTTGAATGAACATTCTGTCCCGCTCATTTGAAAGATCGAAAAGAAGGAATCTGTAAATAGTGTTCCGATGGTAAGAGCCCATTCTTGCCGCTTTCCAATTCTCCGCGATATCTTCTGATCTCAAGCGAGTGGCGCCAACTGCGGATAGCACGCGAGGCCGTAGAACAGGTTGCCGTCAAGCAGGCGCTTCGCTGAACCATTCGCAGCATCCGGGAGCTGCGCGCGAGACTCGTAACGCGCGGGACCAAATTGAAGCGAGCGAGAGAGTGAGAGAGAAAGAGAAAGGGAGGAGGTAGAGGAAGCGCGTTTCGAAACTCGAAATCTAAAGAGAAGCACTCAGAGCCACGCGAGCGGCCGCGCGATACGGTACAAGTATTCGGATGCCGGTGTGAACGACGTCACGTTATGTGCATCGAAAAACGTGCGAGCCATGCGAGGCTCGCTTGTGCCGTTTTCTTGTTTCTCGTGGCGATTACTCTGCCGTTCGGTGAGTGCATTTTCATTTTTTTTTTATTTCAGACCTATAAAAAATACTCCGATTTTTCTATTTGTGAAGAAATATTTCTTGAATATATTATTCGTTATATTATTAATTCTCTTAATTTATTTATGTGATTTAATACAAAATAACATAACATATTTATATAATGCATGTATAACCGATATTTCATGTTTATTGAATAAGCTTTGTTCAATATTGTATAACGTTGTTGATTTAGTTGCAAATAAAATTCGTGCGGTAAACAGGTATTCAATTGAGTAACTTTTAATTACATACATATATAAATTTATATTAATTAAATATTTTTAGTTTATATATTGAATTAAATTATTAATTTTAATCGGTTTTAGTGATAATTAGTTAAATTGTTATTATGTAAATTACTTAAATTACTATAAATTACGTTAATTGAGAACATATTATATTCATATATAATCATAATTACATATACATTAATTATGCATATAGATTGATTATGTTATTCAATAAACACAGCTTTTTGAAGGATTAGCTGTACATATAAAATACAATAGTGATCGATTACGTCGTCTAGTTTTTTACAAATGATAATCAATTCAACGATCAATCTTCGAAGCACGCAAGATGATTCAATCTTGAGCACGTCAGCCTATGTCTGCGTTTTAATTTGTATGGCGCGCTTGAAGAACAGGAATAAAAAAAAAAAAAGAAATATGTCTACTTTCGCGTCCGAGATAAAGCTTAAAAACCGAGACGAGACGTTTACCTCGTATTTTAAGAAGAGATGCGGCTATGAATAAAGAACGTTTAAGAGACCGTGATAATATGTAAATTTTGTCTCATAGTTTTTAAAAACCGCGTTACGAACGTTCTCATCCGAAATTAGCTAACTGAGAATCCGCTTCTCATTACTTCACTTCGCCGCGTTACATTATCTTGTAGAAAACACGCAAGAATTATCATTTCATTAGATTTTATCTGTTAATCGGAAACCGCCGTGCGGTGCAGTAGTACAAGTCAGTAATAAATCGTACATTCTAAGAACGACGAATTATTTTGGCGTAAGGCAAGACTCTCGAGATCTCTTCTACAAAGATTCCCTCGTCTGGGACGGAGAAAAACGACGTAATGGAGCGGCTATCTTACATTAAATCCTCTTGTACTTTCATTCCTTAAAGCGCGAAGAATACGCCTTCCATACGACGTCTCCTCCACCTGCGACGCAGCGGAATGGAGAAGAACGGTGTAATAGAGCGGCTATCTCACATTAAATCCTTTCGTACTTTCATTCCTTAAAGCACGAAGAATATGCCCTTCTTATACCACACCTCTTCCATCCGATGGCTCATATCTTAAAAGTGAAAAATAGTCCACTACATCTCCGGGGGAAATTTCCTCGTCGCACAACGGCAGAAACTCCATTCCAACCACCAGGGTTTTCACCTTTACGAAGCGCGAGCGACTTGAAACGCGGTCTGTTAATTTTCACAATGCATTGTGGACCACGCAGTCACAATGAAATGCCAGTCCCCGGCTCTCGCCCCGGCGTCTTTCTATAGCGTGATGTAATTAGTTTTGTCGCTGGACGCGTATTAGCAGATTTACGAATTAACATTAAGTGGATTCTCTCTCTTTCTCTCTCTCTTACTCTCTTCGTCTTTTCCTGCCTCTCTATGTATGTGATCCACTTAAACAATGAAAAAACAATGAGCGCCGGGCAATCTAACTTCGCCACTTAACTCGTTTACGATTTATGCGGTTGTTCGCGCGGTTGGTACATTCGCACGTAATTACGTCGTTGCATATTCTCCGTGCAGAACAGGATTAACAAAATAGCGCAAGATTTACAAGGGATGAAACGCATGCATACTGTTTCTACAGTACTTTTTACTTATTTTAGTGCGCTCCACTTATGGCTTAAATGGAGTAATATCGTCCATAAATATCGCAGCGACGACGTTACATAAAACTTCAAAATACGTTTGAGAGAAAGATCTAAATATTTGGAGATAATTGAAACATAATATTTGTGCACCTTTTCCATTGTTTCTAAATATTTGTATGATCGCTCTACTGCAATTGATCGTTTAATTAAAATTACGGTAATCGTATAAATACGAAGAAATAGAGAATACAGAGAATACTTAAGATTCTTTATAATCATTCTCATTATATTAATAAACTCTTGCGCAAGACCTATAATTCACAGTTATGACGTAACATAATCTCCTCGTAATCGGTTTTTCCTATATTCGTCTCTGTAGACAGCCGTCAAACATTCAATGAATTATTCACTCGAAGGGATGAGCTTAATGCATAATGTGGAATAATTATAGAAAACGGGTTGCATCATTTTTCATCGATCGTAGGGAATATTCTTTGGAGGGATTATTTATCCTTTTATGAGATAGAGAAATAGAGAGAGAGAGAGAGAGAGAGAGAGAGAGAGAGAGAGAGAGAGAGAGAGAGGGAAAGAGGGAGGAAAGTCCTATTGGTCGAGCTCCGACGCCCCGGAAATTCATTTCGTTCGATTGGCAATGCAACATTACCGGAGGTAATCTCGTCGTCCCCAGTGTCGTGTGTCGTGAGCGAAAATTGACAAGGGATTAACGATGAGGCCATGCTCCGCGCATCAGCTGCGATGCGAGCTGATGGAGAAATTCTCTCGTGATGTTCGAGCTTATTGCAGGTGAACGATAAGCGGTTTGCTAGGGAAACCCCCGAGTACCCGGGAAACTCTCTCTGAGAGTAGGCGCAGTTTCCCAAAGTCCCATTGCATGTTACACCGAGTTATTGAAAACGCGCGTCGCGATTATACGTCTCGATTTGAAATTATTCCCAACCGTTTACCATTTCCTTGCGTTTTCGGATCGCAATCAAAAATTGATCGTCGTACATATGAAATTCAGATTCGCTTCCCGATGAGGGAAACCCGAGGACCTTTCCCAGGACGCGTCGGGTTCGCACCCACTCCGAGCTTGCGGACCGGGGTTGCCTCTTGCGAAAACTCGATGTAACTTTAAAGGTGATGACCTGTGAATATTACAGATGCGAAATGTTGCGCTGGGATATCGCATACACGTGAGTGAGCGTGCGGCAAATGAAAAATTGTCGGTGCGCGCACCGTACCGCCGAAATGTACTCATTTATTCACGCTCATGCGCCGGCATAATGTGTCATACATTATGTTATTCTTGTCGAGGCAATGTGAAAATAAATGTGAAACATTCAAGCGTCCCGATTGCTGATTTAGGCGACGCACCCCATTAAAGATTTAAAACAGCTTCCCCTAAAACCGCTCTGTATTTGTAGTAAATGGTATATAAATGTAAATCCATATAAATGGAGAATATACTGCCTATACGATTCTGAATGCATTTGCGTTGGTCAATCAAAATGATAAAAATCAGAAAGAGCGATGCGATTTACATTCAGTGGAATATATTATAACAACGTCGTTTACCACTGATTGAATTTAATTAAACTTTCGCGATAGAATCACCACTCTGGTGGTCGCGATATTACGATGGTCGGTGATATTACGATAGAGAAACGAACGAATTACTCTCTGCTGCCTAAGGCGAAGCTTAGCTGCTCGCTCTAATTGTTTCTAAAGTTGAAACAGTTCCTCTTTATTCTACTTTTGTCATGTGTGTTTTCTGTTCCTTCCT